AGTGACTACACTTCCAATCCGGTTCGTATCATCTCCTTTCTTCGTGCTAAGAGAATGGTTAGTAAGGGTTGTTTAGCTTTCTTGGCACACCTCAGGGATGATACCACCCAAGTACCTTCAATTGAGTCGGTTTCGATAGTTCGCGAGTTTCTAGATGTGTTTCCTGCAGACCTTCCTGATATGCCACCGGATAGAGATATTGACTTCTGCATCGATCTTGAACCGGGTACTCGCCCCATTTCTATACCCCCTTATAGAATGACTCCCGCTGAGTTAAGGGAGTTAAAAGCTCAATTTCAAGAGTTGTTGAGCAAAGGCTTCATTAGACCAAGTGCATCCCCTTGGGGTGCTCCTGTTTTATTTGTGAAGAAGAAGGATGGAAGATTTCGGATGTGCATAGACTACAGAAAACTGAATAAGGTAACGGTTAAGAACAAGTATCCTCTTCCTCACATTGATGATTTGTTCGATCAGTTACAAGGCGCTTGTACCTTCTCAAAAATCGACTTGAGATCTGGTTATCATCAATTGAAAATACAGGCAGCAGATGTGCCCAAGACTGCTTTTCGGACCAGGTATGGGCATTACGAATTTGTAGTAATGTCTTTTGGTCTTACGAATGCCCCTGGTATATGATGATCGGAGTGTCACGTTCCGACACCAGGATAGTATATGATGATCGGAGTGTCACGTTCCGACACCAGGATAGTATATGGATCGGGTGCCACGTTCCGGTACCAGGATAGTATATGAGGATCGGAATGTCACATTCCGACACCAGGATAGTATATGGATCGGGTGCCACGTTTCGGTACCAGGATAGTATATGAGTGTAGATACTTCTTTTTCTTTAATTTCCACATTGACTATAGTATTATTTGGGTGTAGATACTTCTTTTTCTTTTCATGATGTTTTGTCATGCATATTTAGTACTTTAAGATTAGAAATAATTAAATGGCATGCGAAGTCTAACAAAGCAAATCTTAAAGATCATGAGTAAGAAAATAAACAAGAAATATATATCAAAAGACAAAAATTTAACGTGATTCGATTTATATACTTACATTCGCTAGAAAAGATGAGAAATTCACTATATAAATGTGAGAGTAAAGATATCAAGAGAATTTGTTTTTGTAAAAAAGAAGGTAACAAACAGGTGAGAAATCCTGAAATAAAATATTTGTTTCGATAACGAAAATTTTTATACCACTGATCTTAGTTGTGATCCCCCAATCAAACTAGAGCTTACGGGCGCCTTTTTATTTGCATGAGTCAAAAGGAGGTTCATAGAAGTAATTAGCAACGTATCACTTGTGCCTTATCGTTTCTCCCCTACACATAACTCTCAAAGCCCACAGGAATACATTGTGAATGACATTAAGTTAGAAGGAATGAACTTCTATTTATAGAGTAATAGACATTTTCCTAAAAGAAATATGATTGGCCAAATATGGAGACTTTATGTTCTCCTTTTTATAAAGGAAAACCCAATTATGGTAAGAAACTCATGGTGAATATCCAACAAATCTTTCCCTTGGTCGAACAGTTGTATTTGGTAATTTTATTCTTTTTTTCTTTTCTAGTTTTTTTGTTCTATCTTGTAGTTGTCGCTCATTGTTTGACAATTCTTTGGTGGTAATTTTAGAGAACACATTCGTAATTCTTGTTGATTATAGTGGAGCTTTGATCTTGTTATTTTTGTTCTTCACTTTGAAGAGATTTTCATGTAAATTTGGTGTCTCGAATCGTGATTTATTTTGTTTTGTCTTGTTTGTTTTTGGTTGATTTATGAAATCAATAGATATTTTTACACTTAGATTCTTCATAGTTATTTCTCTGTTGCATTTTTCAAGAAAATGTATTTAGTATATTCAAAGAATGACATAATAAAATTATATATACTTCTATTTATAATTTTTTAAAATATCTACAAAATTAATAATAGACAAATATTATTAAAAAAAATATATTATATCATTTATAATAATGGCTTTTGAACTAAGTGAGGAGTTGGATGTCCACTCATTGAACCCTACCATGGCTTATCAACACATTCTTGATTTGCTTTGATTTTAAGGCCCCTCTCTGTCCCTCTCCCTTTATCTGGAGGTCGGTATAAGTGAATTAATATATTTTATGTAAAATATAAATTTATATAATAAATAATATATAACAAATATTATTTTATTTATAGTATTCTTTATATATAATATTTTTATTCTTATTCTTACTATTGTTGTTAAAAAAGAGAAGACATATTTCACTATTTAGAAACTTTTGTTAATTTTTCAGTTTCTCAATTTAGTTTCAATAACAAGCTCTTATAATTATTGATATGTCACATACTTTAAGAATATTTGTGAAATTATTCAGTTTCTTATAGTTTCATGTCCAGTCATATGCCCCAAATGTGATAACATAGATGAGTAAATTATGAACACATGATGTTAAAAATATTCTTTTTTTAATTTTAATTTATGTGATATATTTTTTTTATCTGATTTTTTTTAAAAGAACGATATATTTGTACATTTAAAAGTAATTTAAATTACACAAAACCATATATTCATGTGCCCCGTATTTTTGCCTATAAATCCACTCCTGCTAAAAGGTATTTTAGTTGCGCGGACTCTTCACTTTTGTTGCTGCATTTATTTCAAATTCTTAAAAAATACATTATTTTTTGTGAATTTGACCCATATTCATTGACATTTTTGAAGAGTCCGAGCAATATAGACATTCACAGAATTTAAAACTGGGAGACTATACTTGATTCGATAATATCAAATCTTAACCGTTAAACTCATCAAGTTCTAATTCTGAATCTGTTTCTGCCTTTTATCTATATCCAAATAGTAACTTATACTTTATCTATATAAATCTCCATTCAATAATATCAACTTCCACTGATTAGAATTACAGTACCACAAAACTCAGATTTGCCAAAAATTCATTTCCAATATTTTTCAAAATGAGCATTCTTGAAAGACAAAGAGCTATTTTTGAACATTTGTACCAATGCCAACAACAACAACAAACTTCTAATTCTTTGCCAAATCAAAATCTTGCTCAACTCAATAGTTTAATGAGTGAAAATACAATGGAATTCAGTCAATTTCAGAATTTTCCCTTCAAGATTGACACACAAATTGATTTTGGAAGTGAAAAGAGGAATTGGACAAGCAAGAAGAGAAAATCAGAGGTTTGTAAATGTTTTCTATTTTTATTCTATTAATGATTGCGTCCGAGCTCGCTTTCGTCACCTAGATAGATCGAACTTCACTAACAAGGTGAAAGTTTAGATAGTCAATCAACTGAGTTATTAAGATTTTCTATTTTACAAGCACCTCAATTAGGCCACCTAAGTAGATATTTCTTGCATCTCGATTTATGTGATGATGTTAACTGGATACGAAAACTTAAAAATATAAAAACAGATTTTTGAAATTTATGATATAAAATAAATGATAGTACATATAGATCATATGTATATGATATTTACCTCCCACGAATACAAATATAAGAATGTCATATCACTCAACTAATAGTTATATCTTTATTTTAATACGTTGAAGAAAATATAATTATGACTTTGTAAAATAATGATTATTACTTGAGTTGCCATCAGACAAATCAATCTATCGAGATTAAAATAGATAAAAAGAAATCACCTGACGTATTTTTGGCTTAGCAATTGGAGCCCTAATTTTCCTATGTTGTTTGTTCATTTTTCAGGTTTATGAAGAATATGAATGTAAAGTTGAAAGACTTGATGGAGAAGCAGGGGAAGTAAAGACAGAGATGATCGTGAAAACTGAAAAAGGGAAGAATTCGAAGGAGAATTTAGAGGCTAAAAATACTGATTTTATTCATGTTAGGGCTCGTCGCGGCCAAGCTACTGATAGCCACAGCTTAGCTGAGAGAGTAAGTGATCTCTTACTACATTAATAGTTTCTAGCTTGTAGCATCACTGTAACTTGAGTTGTCGTGGATTACAAGTTTGAGTCGTGAAATCAGTCATTGGTACTTGCTTAGAATAGAATGCTTATATTACGCCCTTTGGAGGTGTGATTCTTCCTTGAATCTTGGGTGAATGTGGAATGCTTCATCCATTGAGATGCTTTGTTTATTGTTATGTTGTTGTAGTTGTGGCTACCAATGGATTTATGTTTTAAACTCTAGTAGAAGGCAGCTAGTATAAGTATCCGCTTGTGGACCATAGGTTCAAGCTGTGAAATCAGGTCAAGACAGACCGTCTACATTACACTCCTATAAGATGTGGCTCGATTTCCAAACTCTAGGTGAATGTGAGATGCTTCATCCTCCAAGCTAACATGTTGTAGTGATGGCTATCGATGAATTTATATCACCTACCCTTAGGAGCAACAGTGAAGTTATTTCCGTGTGACTTAATATGTTACAGATTCAAAACCATGAAATCAACTATTGATGCTTACATCAGGATAGGTTGCCCATATTATATTACTCTGAGCGTGAGGCCTTTCCCCGAACCCTAAGTGAACATGAGATGCTTCCTGCATCGAACTGTCGTTTTTTTAGGAATTAATTAGGCTAATTACTTTTATCAATCAATTTTTGCAGGCAAGAAGGGAGAAAATAAGCAAGAAGATGAAATGTTTACAAGATTTAGTACCAGGTTGTAACAAAGTGATTGGCAAAGCAGGAATGCTTGATGAAATCATCAATTATGTTCAATCTCTTCAAAAACAAGTGGAGTTTCTTTCCATCAAACTTGCCACTTCCAATGTGAACACAGACAATTTATTTGCCAAGGAGTTACCTAATCCAACATTTTTACAACAACAAGGAAACATTAATATTGGTGTTACACAAAGAAGAGAAAATTGTTTGATGTCTTTCCCAGAAGCTGTTCTTGATTCTTCAAATGTTCTGGTAATTTCTTTGATCCTTTGAAACGTAATATAATTAAGTAATTAAAAATGTTGAGTTCGTTTAAAGACATGTCTTATGTCATATCGGGATAAATTTCAGGACTCCGTATGACCTGTACAATTATTCTTCCTTTGAGCTAACTTTTGGACTTCTGTTAGGTCGAAAAATCATTTCTTTACTCTGGTATCAGAGTTAGACCCATTGAATCCAATTTGTGGATTGTGAATACACTCTCCGTACATAATTGTGCACACTCCAGTCTAGAAAGTGTATGGGCGTGAGGGGGTGTTAAAAGAAATGTCTCACGTCTAACGATAGAGGCGAGATTTCAGGACTCTTTATATACCTTAGACAATTCTTCTTTTTTTAGCTAGCATGTAGGGCTAAATTAGAACTAAAAATTATTTATTTACAGTAACACGCAATTTAACATGATTTTAGCCACCTGAAAAGCGAAACTTTTTTTCCACTTGTTTGACCTAAGAAAAATCAGGCCAACATATAAGGGTGACGTGTGAAGACATAATATAATTAAGTAACTAAAAATATTTTCTGTTTTTTAATTCTAGCTTAAAATATTCTCAAAGATTTTCCATATTTTCTTTTATATCTCAAGTGGAATTGTTTCATTTGCAGGCATTACAACAACTACCAAATCTTGAAACTGATCTACAATGCCTTTTTGGTGTACGGTTTCAGAAGTAACAGAAAAACCAAATTATTTAATCAAGGTTGGTTTTGGTTTTGACTAATTAAATTGATGTGAAAATTCAAAAAAAAATCATATTTTTCTGACATTATTTTTTTAATGTTTTTTTTGCAGGTGCAGGAATGATAAATTGCAATTATAAAGAGTAATTAGCTATTGAAGTACAAATTTTCTTCACATCTTTTAGTACATTTATTGGGGCATATATATAAGAATATGTTCACATGTATAGCCAATGTTGGGACTGTTTATTTGGATGTAATTATCTTGTTAAAACTCTTTCTCCCTGTTTGTGTTGATTTAAAATGCTTTTATAAAAAAAAAATTATACTAATAGTGGAAGAACTTTGCAATAAGAGATGGTTGGGTTTATGTATTAACAAAATTCATTCAATTGAATTTAACGAAAGGTTCAATTTAGGGAAAAGGCTCAAATATGTTATCAAACTTTTAGAAAAGGCTCATTTATACCATCAGTTAAAAATTTGGCTTATTTGTGTCATTGTCGTTTAAGAAAAGGCTCATTCATGTAGTTATCTTTTAACAATGGTTTTGCAAAATCATTTGTAACACGTGACCAATTATAATTCGGTCACGTCATTAATTTTTTAATTTAAAAAATTAATTCAATTTTTTTTCAGAATTTTGATTTTTTTTTAATTTAAAAAATTGATGACGTGACCAAATTATAATTGGCCACGTTTCAAAACTAATCTGTTAAAAAATAATGGCATGAATAAGTCTTTTCTTAAACGGCAATGGCATAGATATGTCATAATTTTAACAAATGACATAAATGAATTTTTTCTGAAAGTTCGATAACATATTTGAGTGTTTTCCCTTGAATTTATAATCCACAACATAAAAAGAGTGAAACAAGAAAAGTCCTTTTGGCTAGCTTAGCATAAAGAGTTTTTCAAAACCCCAACAAACTCATGGGTAAGGAATTGTTTAATAGGGGTAGTAAAAGCACACCACACTTAATAGACCAAAATTGTGTAAATGGCACTAGGGTTGGGTGGATAATTCACAAGGGCTATAGAGTCAACTTCATTGGATATACCTTGATACCATACTCAAATACTATACATGAGAGCATACAATGGCCCATCTTGAGAGAAAACAAACGCATTAAGATTAGGTACATCCACCAAAATAAAGAGTGTGATTTTGAGAAACTTTTGTTTTCCCTCCCTAAGAGGGGGCTCAAAAACATTATCAACAACTAACTAATCCTTGTAACCATATTAAGCAAAAGAGGATATGGGTCTAACTAGTAATTGTCTCTTATCAACCTACAATCACATCAATGAGAGTCTCTAGAAAAATCAATTAGAATCCAACAAAAGATTCAATTGGATATGATCAACAAATGCCCCTAATAAGGTCAAAACCTTCCTTTCGACTTTTATATCCATGTACACTATCGATGGATCACTCACTTTATAGTAAATGCCTGAAAGTAAATTTAAAATTCGACCTTTGTGACCTCCCCCAAAGGACATAGATCACATCTTTTGACTAGTAGCCTCAACCATAGACACAAATGCCACCGACAAGGAAATTAGACTTTTTATTTTTGTGGTTCTAAATTAAAGTTAGGTCAAATGTACATAAATGTCATTTAATCTAATAGTCTTAAATATATCATGTGGAAAGTTAAAGTTAAAATGTTGCTAAAAAAGGAAATGAGTCATTCTTTTTTGAAACAAACTAAAGAGAAAATAAAGTCATTCTTTTTTAAACGAAGGAAGTAATATTTTCCTAAGTTGGGTGGCCCAAATAAGTATCAATGCGCATTCCATCGAGGTGGATGCCCAGTACTCTCTTGAACTAAACTTCTTTTAGTATGAAATCTTTGATAAAAAAAAAAAGGAAAATGCATAAGTACCTTCCAAACTATGTTTGAAACTTCAGAGACACGCTTATATTATGTTAAGGTCTTATTATCTCGGATTTTATTTTATAAATAATTTTCTACTTCTTTTCGGCCTATGTGACACTATTTTGTGGATCCAGTGCGTGTTGACATTTTTTCCCAAGCTAGTGCCACATAGGCATAACAAGGGTATAGAATTATTTTTAAAATAATTTTAGGGGTAATAAGTGTTATTCTTACAATAACCTGTATTTATAAGGTTAATAAACAGAAACAGAAATAAGATGAAGTAGAAAAATATAATACAAGAATGAATCCGAGTCCACAGAAACTAATGTGTGTCCTTAAGAAATTTAATCCCCTCACTGTACCGAAGGTTATGGATTAATTTATCCCAAGATAAAACGGATTAAACCTGTTAAAGAAATAGTGGTACCTCAAATTTCTTTAACTTCAACGAACTTAAGAACAACAACAAGTCATACAGACTCAGTCGATCGACAGTTTATTTTTTTTTATTTGAGAGAAAAATAAACGCAGAGAAAGAAAAATTTGCAGTGTTTGAAAAATCAAAAATTGACTTCCTTTTATAGACATTTTCAGCAAGGAACATGTCTGTTCAGTGAAATCTGTTCAGACCCATTTTATCCAGAAAGTTGTGTCTTTTGGAAAAAATAACAACTTTTCAAAAAAATATGTCTGTTAGGAAAATAACTACTTTTTGGAAAGTAACGACTTTTCGGAAAAGTAACAACTTCTCGGAATGTTACCGTTACCCGCAAATTTATAAGAGATAATATTAACAGGATTTATTTGATTTAACAAAAACTGATTAAATAAATTTTGTCCAAAAAATTTATCTATCAATCACATCATTTGCCAAATCCAAATCCAAGCCAAAGCCGAGCCGAGCGAGCGACGACGACGACAGCGCGAGGGGGCATCTTCTTCTTATCTCTTTTAAGAAGTAATGGAAGTGTTTCCTTCTATAAGGATAACAATTTCCATTTCTTTTGCCGATATGGGAGAAATGACTTTTCATTTGCATTTTGCAAATGACTTTTCATTTTCCCTCCAAAGTAGTTCCCTCACTTTTCATATTCTCTCTTTTCTTTTCCCATTCACACTTGCTAAAACCCAACAATCCCCCACATGAATGGGGAAGGATATTGTTAAAATATATGCATGAAAAAACTTGTGTGTCTTGTAGGTAAAGGTTAATCGCATCTGGATAAGTAGGTTTCCCTTTAAACTTTCCGTAGTGAACATATATCGGATATACTCGGTCAATCGGTAGATTTGATATCTTTGAACCGTCGAGCTTTGGTGTATACCTAGAAAACATATGTCACACAATCAACCCTTGAACTGTTCTTAGTTCTCATTGTTTTGTTCGTTTCAGTCATGAACACATCTTGGATAGTAAGTGCTTAAAGAACTGGCCTTACTGGATTCTCCTTGAAGCGACTTACACTTCACACTTACATAGGTGATTTCTAAATGTGTTATCCCATAGATACACCATTTGATATTCCCTGTATCAAACTTAGAAACCATTAAAAAGTCCTTATGTCTTTATCCTGGTTACTAAACATTGTCTCATCATGAGAATGGACCATAAAATAATAATAATAGTTTTTTCCTTTGACAATGTTGAACCGTCATCAATGACTTTGTTTTATCTCCTTGAACCTAGATCTTGGGATCTCCAGTCTTCTAGGTAGAGGTTACCGCCACGATGACTTGTTCTCGGCCATAGTCACATTCCCGTCGATGATTTTTCAACTCCCTCTCTATTTAGGCCTTTTGTAAGTGGATCCGACACATTATCTTTTGACTTCACATAGTCAATTGTGATAATTCCACTAGAGAGTAGTTGTCTCACAGAGTTATGTCTTCGTCTTATGTGACGAGACTTGCCGTTATACATAATGCTTCCAGCCCTTCCTATTGCAGCTTGACTATCACAATGTATGCATATAGGGGCCATTGGTTTGGGCCAAAATGGAATATCTTCTAAGAAATTCCGGAGCCATTCAGCTTCTTCACCTGCCTTGTCTAAAGCAATGAATTCAGACTCCATTGTAGAGCGAGCTATACATGTTTGTTTGGATGATTTCCAAGATATTGCTTCTCCACCAATAGTAAAAACGTATCCACTTGTGGATTTTGTTTCAGTTGACCCAGTAATCCAATTTGCATCACTATATCCTTCAAGAACGGCTGGATATCTGTTGTAATGTAAAGCATAGTTTTGAGTGTCATCTAAGTATCCCAAAACTCTCTTCATTGCCAACCAATGATTATGATTAGGATTACTTGTGTATCGACTCAGTTTACTGATAGCACAAGCTATGTCTGGTCGTGTACAATTCATGACATACATTAAGCTTCCCAATACGCTAAGCATAGTTCAATTGAGACTGACTTTCGCCTTTATTCTTTGCAAGATGAAGATTAACATCAATTGGAGTCTTTGCCTTTTTAAAATTCAAAAATTTGAATTTTTCAAGTATCTTTTGAATATAATTAGTTTGAGACAATGCTAGACCATTAGGAGTTTTAAGAATTTTAATTCCTAGTATCACATCAGCAACTCCTAAATCTTTTATATCAAACTTACTAGCAAGCATACGCTTTGTAGCTTTTATATTAGCAATGTCTTTGCTCATTATAAGAATATCATTTACATATAGGCATAAAATAACTTCCTGATTTGGAGTATCTTTAATGTAAACACATTTATCACATTCATTGATATTAAATCCATTTGACAACATGGTTTGATCAAACTTTGCATGCCATTGTTTTGGTGCTTGTTTTAGCCCATAAAGTGACTTAATAAGTTTGCACACTTTCTTTTCTTTACCAGGAACTACAAAACCCTCAGGTTGTTCTATGTAAATTTCCTCTTCAAGCTCTCCATTTAAGAAGGTTATTTTCACACCCATTTGATGAATTTCAAGACCGTATACTGCAGCTAGTGCAATTAACATCCGAATTGATGTAATCCTAGTCACTGGCGAATATGTGTCAAAATAATCAAGACCTTCTTTTTGTCTAAAACCTTTGACAACAAGTCTTGCTTTATATTTGTCAATAGTTCCATCGTCTTTCATCTTCCTTTTAAAGATTCATTTTGAACCCAAGGGTTTGTTCCCTGGAGGAAGATGAAGCAGAAAAATATAAAATACAAGAATGAATCCGAGTCCACAGAAACTACTGTGTCCTTAAGAAATTTAATCCCCTCACTGTACCGAAGGTTATGGATTAATTTCTCCCAAGATAAAACGGATTAAACCTGTTAAAGAAATAGCGGTACCTCAAATTTCTTTAACTTCAACGAACTTAAGAACAACAACAAGTCACACAGACTCAGTCGATCGACAGTTTTTGTTTTTTTTTTTGAGTTAAAAATAAATGCAGAGAAAGAAAAATTTGCAGTGTTTGAAAAATCATAAATTGAGTTCCTTTTATAG